GGAGAAAAGGCCTGCGTGGACCGCAGGGAAGGCTGGGCTACCAACATTGGTAGCGGAGCAGGTACAAATCCTGTCTCCTGCTCCTTGGTTCGCTGGAAGCGGGCCGGAGCGTTCGACTGTGCCGTTAGGTTGCCATGGAGGCTGGAACCTCGCTCCGATATTTTTCGGGGGAGGATTGCGACCACCGAGAATATCGACGGTGGAAACAGTGGGTGGTCAACAAGATGCGAACAATGGATAAGCTGGATGAGGCTGCACGTGGCTCGTTCATTTGGACCCTCCTGTCAGGCAAAGCGCTGGAAGTGGTAGAGCATTTGAAGGAAGAAGATTACCAGGTGAAGGGCGGTGATCTTGTCATCTTCAAGCTACTTGACAGGCGGTGGCCTGAGCTGGATCGCACGGACGAGATCGGCGAGAACATCGCCGAGGTGTTCGCCCTTCGGGCGAAAGAAGGGGAGACCCTTCGTCAGTGGTGCGCCCGTGCTCGTGAGTGCTTCGACAAGTGCGCTCGCAAGACTGGCGTAAAATCCCCAGAAGAGGCCCGAGGATGGATCCTGCTGAACCAGTCCGGAATGGCAGAAGCTGATCGTGCCATCTGCTTAGCTCGAGCTCAAGGCGATCTAAAGTTTGATACACTGTCACAGGCCATGAGGTCTTGCTTCCCGGACTATGTCATGCCGAAGCGCCGTACATTGGGGGCCCATGTTGTGGAAGAAGCGGGTTCCGGCCCCGTTGAGCCGGAGGATTCATTGCAAGACATCGAGCTGTTTCTGGCCGAGCACGGCTATGAAGAGTCAGGTGAACCACATCTGACGGGTGAAGAGCTGGATGAAGAGGACGCGGCCGAGATCTTGGCCACGACCTGGAAGGAGCGACGCTCCGAGTTGAACCAAGTCCAAAAGGGTCGAAGGTTCACTGCATCTGACACCCGCCGTGGCCAGACAGCTGGTGGTAAGGATTTCAAACGGTCCTTCCGTGTGCAAGTCGAAGAGTTGAAGCAACGTACCCGATGCCGACGATGTGGCAAGATGGGACATTGGCAGCGTGAATGCAAGTCGCAACCTGCTAGTGCTTCAACGACAACCACCAGTCATGCAGCCAGCACCGTCCAGGTAGTGGATAGCCCAGCAGAGCATTTCGTGTGCACTGCAGCTCTTTGTCCGGAGTTGCCCAATGAAGTTTTGTTGGTGAGCAGTCCAGGGTTCGCCATCCTGGACAGTGGCTGTGGAAAGACCATTATCGGCCAGGACACCCTCGAGTCCTTCAAGAAGATCTGGACTCGATGTGGCATTCCGGAGCCACCCCTTCGAAAGGAATCCAACCAGTTCCGCTTTGGGAACGGTGAGCTGGAGGTGAGTTCTCACATGATCGATCTCCCAGTGTTTTTGGCTGGACGCCCTGGTTTTGTGAAAGCCGCTATTGTGAAGGGATCAGCCCCGCTGCTCCTGTCGAGGCCGGCAATGAAGACCTTGGGCGCCTCCATGAACTTCGGAGAAGATAAGCTGACCCTGTTTTCTGACCGGGTTGAGATTCCGCTGGAGGTGAATGCTGCCGGACAGTATGCTGTGAACGTGTCGGCGTTTCCGAAGCATGCCGCCGAGTTGTTTCCGCAGCCTGTTTTGAAGCCAGTGCCCGAAGCCGTTGAGCCTGCAGCTCAACCATGCCACTCGGTCTCGGTTGCTTTCAATCATCAACATGCCCGTAAGAAAGATTTTTGGGAGTTGAAGCCCCGGGAACGTTTGGTTATTCGCCACCATCTTAAACCCCGGGAAAGGTTGTTCACCCCGCAGGGCACCCAATGCCCTATTGATGTTGAGATGCTTCAATCCGAGCGCATAACCCATTTCGATACTCCGCCGCCGTTGCCTTGGGACCATCGGGATTCATGGTTTGAGCCTGATACTGCACATGCCGCTCTCGGTGAACAACCGTGGACGGGTAGAACCGTCTTTCGACTTCGCTCCGATGCCGTCATGCCGTCAATTGCTTATGCCCAGGATGAGATCGAGCAGCTCCATGTCACTCAGTGGACTGCCAAGCAGCATCGACAGTTGATGGCGCAAGTCAAGGTGCCTGATCGGGAGGACCAGGTGCCACAAGATAGGTACAATGTCATTGAGGTATTCTCTCCACCACGATTTGCACTAGAGGGTGCAACTCGGGGATTTCGTGTTCTGTCGGCCGACCTCAGCACGGGATGGGACTTCCGTCGGAAACGTGATCGTGAAGACCTTTTGACACTCGTTCGAACCAATCCGCCTGATTTGCTAGTGTTGTGCCCGCCATGCACATGGGCAGGGGGCTGGTGGCACCTCAATCGTTTGCACATGGATCCAAACGAGGTGCGACTTAGGGAAACGTGGACTCAGTTGTTTGTGCGTTTCTGTTGCCAGCTGATGGAAATCCAACTGGCGTCAGGAGGTAGATGCTTGTTCGAACATCCCCAAGATTCGATTGCTTGGAAAATGCCATGTATGGAAAAGCTTCAATCACGATTGCATTCCGTGTTTGTGGATATGTGCTGTTATGGCCTTCGTGTCCCAGGCGGCTCTCTGATCCGCAAGGCCACTAGGTTGGCAGTCTCTCATGCCGACATGAGATGCCTAGGTAAGAAGTGCCCTGGTCCCACTCACACTGATCACCAACATCACCAGAGCATAGCCGGAAGTTGGCCTAAAATAGGTTCCATCAGCAAGCATGCAGCAAAGTATACTTCGACCTTTGTCAGAGCTGTCCTTCGTGTGACCAAGGGGCTTCCGAAGACCGTTGGCCTGGTGGTTCAATCAGATTGTTCCACCGAATGCCTAGTAGCTCACACGCTTGAGGACCTGAATCAAGAGGACAATGAAGCCAAGATCAAAGACAGCCTTCGTCGATTGCATAATAACCTTGGACATCCTACGAATCAACAGCTTGTGAGAGTCCTCAAGCATGGGGGTGCCTCCGCGGCCGCTCTGGAAGCGGCGCATCGGTTCTCGTGTGACCTGTGTCTTGCCCAGAAGACGCCTAAGGTAGCATTGCCAGCTCAGGTCCATCGAACTGTGGAGTTTAATGCTGTTGTTGGAATTGACATCAAGTATTTGCCTGGGTGGGACACCAACCAAAAGATTCCAACCCTCAATATCGTTGATCAAGCCAGTTCCTTGCAAATCATGGTCCCAGTGTTCAAGCGTGAGACATCCGACATCATCAAGCAAGCGTTCATGGAACGATGGGTGTCTTGGGCAGGCATGCCACAAGAGATTGTGTGTGACCCTGCACGCGCCAATGTGGCCGACGCGTTCACTGCCGTGCTTGAGCAGGGAGGAGCGAGCTTCAAGTTGACTGCCGGTGATGCACACTGGCAGTTAGGTAAGACTGAAGTTCATGGGGGCTGGTTTAGTCGAGTGCTTACCAAGATTTTGTCGGAACATGCACCCCGAAACCAAACCGAATGGCTTGACTGTGTAAATGCAGCGCACTGTAAGAACCAGTTAATCCAGGTGTACGGTATGACCCCAGCTCAGTTCGTGTTTGGGAAGAACCCTAGAGTGCCTGAGAACTTGCTCGATGAACCCCTAGAGATCGTACCTGCCACCTCGGCCCTGTATGATGAAGCCGTTGCCAAGCAAGTTGCAATCCGACAAACTGCTCGGAAAGCAGTGCTTGACTTGCAAGATAGCAAGGCGCTTCGACAAGCCTTGGCCGCCCGGCCTCGTGTGCATCACACCTACAGCCCTGGAACTCATGTAGCCTATTGGCGATCTCAAAAATGGATTCATGGGTCCTTGGAGAAGACTGGACGATGGTGTGGTCCTGCACTGGTGTTGGGTTATGTGGGTCGTAATCTAGTGATCATCCATAAGAGACAAATCTTCCGGTGCGCACCTGAGCAGATTCGTCCATCAACCCAAGATGAGCTCAAGCTGACCGAAACTCCCCACATGGATTTTCTGGGTATCAAGCACTTGATCGAATCTCATCAGCTCGAAAGTAGGCAATACGTTGATTTGACCTCCGAGTCGTACCCTGGTGTTGATCCTGAAATTGGAGAAGATAGTCCACCAGTCATGGCCGACCGGTCTTCCGTTGCTGAGCGTAATAAACCTCGTGTTGGGCCATTTCCCATGAATGCACCTCCAGATGAGGAAAGTGAGTCACCGGAGCCACCACCACTCATCGACAAGAGTCCAATGGAAGTGGACACACACACACTCGCGGTGGGCCAAGTGTCGTGCCGTCTCAAGAGGCTGCATATGGCCCCGTCCGACCGCCGAGACGGCGTGTTGGTCAAAAGGATGGCCCCATGGCTCTGTATCGTCCAGGACGAATGGCACAAGAAGACTTTCAAGAGATGATGCAAGAGATTGTTCCTGAACTACTTCAACAAGTCTTGCAAAAAGAGCCATCCAGTAGTCCGGACCACACAGATCCACCACCAGCCGGCGAAGGATCATCTTCGAGTTCGAGTCGAGGGACGAAACGATCGATCGAACCAACTGAAGCCGACGTTGAACCGGTCGACAAACGTCTCCATGGGATAGAAGAAGATCTGTTAGTAGAAAGTGCCACTTTTGCCATGGATGAAATTGGTGTTTGCTCGGTAGAACTCCTTCAAAGCCATTCCATGGGTAACCTTCATGACGGTCTCGATCATATTGCCAAACAAGAACTGGTGACTTTGTTCCAACAGGGGATGCCTTGTGAAGTACTCGTCGCCGCATATATGCAAAAGAAGGCCGCAAAAGAAATTCCGGTGACAGGTAACCCTCCAGAGATTCAGAAGAAAGTAGATGAAGCAAAATTGTTGGAATGGAACACCATTGAAGGAAAGCATGCTGGTCGTGTCGTACTCGGTAATGAGGCTGATGATGTTCGTAAGTACCTGAGCCATCGCATCATGGGTAGTCGGTATGTTATGACCTTGAAAGTTGAAGACGATGCCGCCCCTCGCTTCAAAGCTCGTTGGTGCCTCCAGGGTCATTTGGACCCAGACCTCACCGCCAAGGCCGAGCTTGGAGACCTCCAGAGTCCCACACTGTCCCAGGTTGGTCGTAACCTGATTTTTCAATTGTTGGCTAGCCATCAGTGGGAGATGCAGTTGGGGGATATAAAAGGGGCATTTCTGTCTGCTGGTAATCTTCCCCAACGTTACAAGCCACTGTATGCCTCTTTGCCAAAAGGGGGCATTCCTGGTATCCCAGATGGAGCCTTGATAGAAGTGCTAGGACACGTGTACGGATTGAATGACTCACCGGCTGCATGGTACAAGAAGTTGAGCCATGAATTGCTTGCCGCCGGTTTCGAACGGTCTCGATTCGACTCATGTCTTTTCTATTTTCGAGAAAATGGAAAACTGACAGGAATTTATGGTGTTCATGTGGACGATTGTGTGACAGGAGGGTGTGGTTCTGGCTATGGAAAGGCCATCGCTCAGCTGAAACAGACCTTTGAGTTCCGCAAGTGGCGTACTCAGAATGGTGATTTCTGTGGTGCACAATACATACAAGACCCCAAAACCTTCGAAATCAGCATGAAGCAAGAACGGTTTGTTCAGAAGGTAAAACCTCTGCACTTGTCCCGTGATCGATCACGAAACCGCGAGGCATTGTTGAATGAAAAAGAGGTAAGTTGCTTGAGAGCTATCAATGGGAGTCTCAACTGGTTGTCGACTCAATCACGACCTGACTTGTCAACTCAAGTGTCGTTCTCACAACAAGCATTTCCTCGACCAACAGTGAATGATGCTATTGCCGCAAACCATGCCGTAAGACGGGCCCGCCAACATGCAGATTTGGCCATCAGGTTTAGTCACATTCCACCGTCCGAATTGGGTCTCATGTGTCATTCCGATGCCGCCTTCGCCAACGGTCGATCGGGTTCCACTCAAGCTGGTTTCATGGTTAGTTTTGTACATCAAGGGATTAACTCAGGTCATGATAGTCCTTGGACTCCGGCTTATTGGAAAAGCCACAGGTTGCCAAGGGTGGTCAGCTCGACTTTGAGCGCTGAAGCCCAGAGTATGGCCACTGCATCTAGTATGCTAGAGTGGACTAACCTTTTGCTGTCGGAGGCCTTGGACGGTCCCCGCTTTGCGCATAGCCTGTGGAACGGAGTCGATCACAGATTGACCATGTTGATCACCGACTGCAAGTCTCTCTATGATCACTTGATCTCAAATTCTTCCCCTACTTTACATGATCGGCGAACGGCCATAGATATTGTGATTTTGAGAGATTGTGTTTTTCGGACGAAGTCTCAGCTTCGATGGATTCCCACTGACAGAATGCTAGCCGACGGACTCACAAAGGAAAGCCCAGAGGCCCTAGACCTCATTCGTGCCTGTCTCCGTACCGCACGCTACCAGATAAGTCCTGAAAGTGTGGTTTTGGAACGCCGAGCACAAGAGAGGGATCGTCGAAAACAGTTTGCATCAAAGGGTCCACCTCCTCCTGCCGAGAGAGTCAAGGGGGAAAACTCTGCACAATAGCACTGAATCGAGCATTGCATGTTTTGGGGGCGAGTGTAAACACTCGGAAGTCAATGCGTAGGGGATTCGTGTGTTTCTTGTGTTAGCTAGTTCACTCCTTGAGCCGCCTTATGAAGACTCCACATACATGTCCTTTTTGATTTGTACAGCCATCTGCCCTGCGTTTTGAGACATGCATTTGTTTTTGCCAACCTCCATTTTGGAGTTGTGTGTTGATGCCGCTTTCCAGCAGGTGATCAAATGATCATCCTTAGGTGTTCGACGCGTTCAGTGGCTGGGTTGCCACTGTGAGAGCTTGTAGCTATGGCCATGAAGAGCGACCAAGTGTTCCTTCCTCAGGAGCAAGATGAATGTGCCCGCCTCATCCTGAAGGCTCGACGTCTTGGAGCTTGGAAGTCCGTGTAGCAACAGGTGATTGACGCCGAGGACCTGATCCATGACGGCCCTGAGCCTACCAATCGGTCCCCTTCTGGAACGATGTCGGACGGGAGTAAGAGGCTCCGTGATGAGCACTACCATGGCTATACCTCCGCTGGAACTACCTATCTTGCTGGCTTGGAGAATGAAGTGCCTGGTCCTATGCCCTCATCGAGTGGGGGAAAGAGCAAGGTCGTGTTGCCGGAGGCTTTGCTTCCACCAGGGATTAGTTCCTTGGATCAGTGGGGGCAATGCTACATGTCCTTTGGGAAGTTCAAAGATGTCAAGACCTACCGTGAGGTCTTCGAGAGCAAGGACGAATCCTGGGCAGGATACCGCAAGTTCTGCCTCAGCCATTGTGAAAGTGGCTCGCCCGGTCTCAAGGACTTTGTTCACTACATGAACAGCCGTGGCGTCGAAGATTCGGACCAGAGCATCATTCCAGGTAGTGGTATTCGACGCTCCTTTCGAAAATAAAGAGGAGTGTTGATTCGACTGTGCCGCACCGATCGTGGAACGATCATCGCATG